AGTGACCTTGGTTAGAAGTGACAATAATAAAATATTTTGTTCATGGGAAGGATACAACTGCTAATATATATCTTTTCATAGATCAACATATTTCACAATTTATTTGTATTGAAGTAAGGTTGAAATTCAGCAAAGATTGGCAAAAGATTGAAAGGAGTTGGACGTGTTTAAAAATTCGCACTGGGCATTGCTTTAAAAAGAAGCACCTGTGTACACAAATGATCTTGAACAGTGCATACTGAACTAAATAGACACAACAGAGAAGGAGGTCGTTCTGGTACCAACTTAAAAGTGTCTCACATGTTACCAATAGTTAAATTAATAACCATCACCTAACTAATTTTTACTCAGTTGAAGATTTGGAGATCTTGGCTCAATGATCCAGCTATTGAAAATACTAAGAAGTAAACATAAACAGACAATTTGATTGTTATTGTGAGCCAAATGGCACATGTTTTAAATTATTTGCTGTGAGTCCAATTTAAACTTTGTCCTCACCCACAGAAATATGAGTCCAAGTAAAACCAGTTAATGCTCCAAAAATGGAGCTGAGATGATTAGGCATAAGCTTTGTTGATTGATTATCCATAACACAGACAGATTCTGTTGTACATGGTCTTGGAGTCACTACAGCACAAAATGATATAATTTAGCCCATTGAATCCATGCCAGAAATTAAGGGAATCAGACCAGGAATGGCGGTCAGAAGAGATTTCTGCAGAATTTCTCCTCCTGTAATAAGCGGGATACAGGCCATTACTTAAGAATCTTAGTTCCGTATTCTCTTAAAGTTGACATGCAGATTCAGATGGCAGGTAGGAAGGAATGTTAGTATTCGTTCTGAGATGGCTAGAAAACAAGAGCAGGGATGAACTGCTGAGGCTGTATAAGGCTGTGGTCAGACCATATCTGGAATGTTGTGAGCATCTTTGTGTCCCATATCACAGGAAGGATGGGGGTCTTTGGAGAGGGTCTAGAGGAAGTTTAGAAAAATAATACTGGGGATGAAGGGCTTGTCATATGAGGAGTGGTTGAGGACGTTTTGTCTGTACTCAATGGAGTTTAGAAGGATGAGGGGGGGATGTCATAGAAACTTACAGAACATTGAGAGACCTAGATAAAGTGGATGTAAAGAAGATGATTCCGCTAGTAGGAGAGACTAGGACCTGAGGGCACAGCCTCAGAGTTAAGGGACCACCCTTCAGAACTGAGTTGTGGAGGAATTTCTTCAACAAGAAGGTGGTGAAATTGTGCAACTCATTGTCACTGAAGGTTGTGGAGGCCAAGTCATTGAATGCATTTAGGACAGAGAAAGATAGGCTCTCGAAGGAATAATGGGATACATTGAGAAGGCAGGAGAATGAGTTTGAGAAACATATCAGCCATGCCTGAATGACAAAGCAGACTCAATGGGCTGAATGACCTAAATCTGCTCCTGTATCTTATAGCCTTATGGTAAGTATGGTTTGTGAAAGAATCGCGCCTCAGGATAAATGCTTCTTATTTATTCCTATTAGTCTCTTTCTCTGAATTTAATTTACATTCCTTTACTTTGTAAGTGCTAATTCCTTACAGGATTATAATTTCATGGACACAAGCTGCTTTCTGGTACTTTGCATAATGGTCTATTCTTAACGTGGCAGCAAAATTGATGAGAGATGGTAGATGTTTTTCACTTTGAAGGTAATTTACTGTTACTGTTGCTGATCAGGAATGAGAGGATTTGATCATTTTCTTTCTGTAACCCTAGATGCTGATGCTAATTCTAATGTCTCTTCTGAAGTCAATGAATATATAAATCAAGAGAAATGTAAAATGGGTTGCCAATTCACCATTATCCCTTTTATCATACAATGACAAAATTGTATATTCCTGGATGTCTTCTCTGGGGTGGTGAAGTGAAGAAGATAATTTCTGGCTGGAACATATGAAAAAGTTCTGAGGTTGAGTGCTTTGGATTTTGAAAATGTTGCTCTTTTTAAATCCAGAATCAAAGTTCAGTTTTAAATTTTTCCAACTACTCTTGAGTAATATTCTTTCCATTAGCAGTACTTCTTGAGGTCTAGATTTCTTAAGCCTTAGAAAATTAAGATATCTTTTTGCATAATTCCTGTGAATAGTTTGAACTCCAGTTTTATGAAGTAGAAGCTATTTTTAAAAAAAACTTATTTCCAATTGGATATGTATCAGACCAGTTTAAATATATTTGCTTTATTTCAAGTTAGTGACAATAAAGCACTCAGTGGGACTGTTGTACATGAAGCTATTCTGCTAGCCAGGTTATCTTTACTGTACATGTTGAATACAGAGTACGTCAGATTACCATTCTGTACATGTTTAGATTTGTGTGTTACTTACATGTTTGAAGAGACACAGAGTTGTCAAGTATTGTAAGTCTTGCATATTTTTGAGTCTAGTTTATGTTAGCAATTAGCAGCGTAGCAGTAATTTCATTGGAAGACCGGAATAATTTTCTAAAATTTGGGCCTTATCTGACTCGTAATATGAATTGTGCTGCTTATAAACAGTTTGGTATTTAGAAGGGTGGGAAACCTGGCAGAGAAGAAACTGATAATGGGCCAACTGTATCACTTAAAAACAAAATGTTGTAAAGATAGAGCAGTCAATAAAGCAATTTATTTTACAATTGGAAAATTTAAACAAACCCCTAGGAAAGGAGTTCAAGTTGAAGAAGTCTTCAAAGCTTACAAAACATTTTAGATAAAATGGTTGCCATACTTGTTTCACTAAGTACTTCCTTTAAGTTGTGTTTGAATTGGACATTTCAAGCTCTGATTGTCCATGCTTTGAGAATGGGTCCTGATTGTTTCTGGCCAGAGGGTTGGTCACCTATATCAAGACTACATGAAAATTGATTTCTGTGGGTCTTGGCAGTGTTTAGATTCTTGTTTTTCTTTAATCATTTGCCTTGCTACTGCCCAGTTCATGTTAAAAAAATGTAAGAGCTAGGTAAACAAAAAAAAGCTCCCATTCCATTGATTTATAATTGTATTTCTATTGGCTACTGGAATTGGGCTTTTGCAGGTATGCGGCTTTGAACTATACAATAATACATACAGAAGGAAGCCATTCAGCCTGTTATGCCTATGCCAGCTCTGTGGTAGAGCTATCCAATTAGTTGCACAGCCCAGCACTTTCCAAACAGCTCAGTTTTTCTTTCACACATTCATCTAATTCCTACTCTGGAATATTGACCTGAATTTTCATCCTCCTCAAGGCAGGTAATGAAAGCCAGTTAAATTCTTGACTTGGCCCCAAGGAGGGGATTTACGTAAACGGGGCCAGAGCAGACCACAGTCAAGAAAGCTGACCTGCAAAAGTGTTTGGAGGTAACTAATGATCTGCCAGGTGCCAAGGTAGCCTGTTTAAAATGCCCAATTCACTGTCTTCAAACTGCACCCCCCTTATAATTAGAAATTAGCCCAAGGTGACAAACCTACACAGATTTTCCTGGATTGTTTTGGCCTTTTTATCCTGTGTCCAATGTCCAGCCTCCCCAGGACATATTTTGACCCAGAGAGCGTAAGATCTAAGCCAGTAGATCACCCCATCCCAAGGCTAGTTAGTACACACAATGGGAAAATGTCCCTTATTTATTCGACTAAAGTTGGTTACCTTGCTTTAGCCTTCTCCCCTTCATTTCTCACATATTCCCTACACTTCCATGCCAAGTTAAGCACCCCAGCCCCCTCTACATGACCCTTTGTGACTCCAAGCTCTTCCTCCTACCCACCCTCTATGGCCCCTCATAACATTAATGCCTCCATATGGCGCCTTCATTGATCAGCTATAATCTGTACAGAATCAATGAACTATAGTAACAGTGGGACATGCAGAAAAAAAACTTTTGAAAATCATTCATTAATTTTCACTATGATTAAATACATACGAGCCAATTAAAATACTCATTATTCAGACCCTTTTAAATTGTCAACAGTGGAAATTGTAACACATGAAACCTCTTTTTTTTTTGTAAATAATCTGTGCAATTGGCAGAAAAGACCGGGAAGCCAGAGATGTCAATTAAGCAACTTTTCTTTGGGGCTCACATAGATATCTAATAGATGCTTGGGCATGAGATAATGAGATGAAACAAAGTAATGAGAATGAGGAGAATCTTTTAAACTTCACAAAATCTTTGAGATGCTGTGAAATGACAAGTCTTTGATAGGTTGACACAACTCAACAAAGATCATGGACCAGGACAATGGAACCAGCCAGCTCAGGAATACAAGGTGTGAGCTTGTGACCTGAACCAGCCCACATCCTTGAAAGGCCCCAGTGAACATTGGAACTCTGGGTATAGGATTAGGAATCTCGAATTCAGTCACAGACACCCATTTTCACCAATCCTCAAAGTCTTCTCAAGTCCGTGTTAATTCAAGCTGTTGTGTTAGTGTCTTTACTTGAGAGCAACTGAACCGATAGCTGCAGCTCCACTGAAATATGTTGTAGACTGTTGTAGGCTGTGCAGCAAGTTTGGTATAAATTTGCTAACTTCATGTTGATGTTTTGCTGTCAAATCATGGTGCTGCAGATGCAAATTCAACATAAATCCTTTAGTGGAAATTCAAGCAGTAGTAGAACAGGTGCCAGTGTTTCGGGTTTCGGCCCAAAACGTTGACTTACCTGCTCCTTGGAAGCTGTCTGACCTGCTGTGCTTTTCCAGTCTTACACATTTAGACTCCAGTTTCCAGCATCTGCAATCCTTATTGTCTCCTTGACCAGCTCTTCTTTTTTGCCAAACAAGTAGTTTTGTGTGATGTAATGGAACATTCTTCCATGGGTCCTCTGAATGTGAAGTTGCAAGAACTCAAACTCATGTAAGTGCTGTAGATTCTGGTCTTATTTGGAATAAGACTTGCCACAATATTTAATTTGGGACTTTGTTACGTCCTTCCAGCAAATGAGCATTTCTATATGATGTAAACACTCCATTATCAATGTACCTGTTCTATATTTATACTTAAGTTTCTTACCTTCCTTTTTCATTCCTGCTCTAAAGCACTTTTTTAATCTGCAGTATCTACATTGGTTTCGTTTGTCCTTATCTACAATGCATTGTCTGTTAAACCTTGAAGAGAACAGAAAAAAGTCACATTGTTAGTATTTATAGATCAAGTGAGACACTTCATACACTTCAGATAGTTAAACACGAACACTTTTACCTTGTGTGTTTTACCATTTCAGCATGCTGTAAATGTAAGAATCTGACATTGAAACAAGTATCCACTAACATTTTTATAAGCACAGAACAGAAAAGTGGGTGGGCGTAACATGGGGTGGGGGATGGGAGGTGCATGTGAGAAGAGGCAGCATTTCATGACTTATTGATCTAATTTATTTTCTCACTAAGCTTACAAAGATAGGAATTTTAGCTCCATAAGTGTTTTTGGAATATTTTGCTGTGTGAGACTCAGTGGGATTCTCAGTTCTTTGTTAGAATTTCAGCACTGAACTTCTGCTGAGAGATTAAATATACCCTGTTATTTGTGTTGGTTGCTTATTACAAGCTAAAAATTTAATCCTTTCCAAAATAAACTACTTTAGAAGTGGAATCAAGCTAAAATCTTTCAACTAAACAATTCTTATTTTCTGATTTAATTATTCCTATAAATTACAGAACAAATTTTCCGGTTGAAACATTTCTGCCCATACTCACAGTTCTTAAATGTGAAGGTGCAAGTTATTTTCTTGACAAAATTGACGTAAGTATCAGTTACTCCACTACAAACTCACTGACTCCCACAACTGCCGCGACTACACTTCCTCACACCTTGCTTCCTGCAAGGACTCCATTCCATTTTCCCAGTTTCTCCATCTAATCTGTTCTGATGATATCATTTTTCTCCAGAGTGCCTTGACGCGTCCCCCTTTTTCCTCAATGACGATCCCTCCCCGTCATGGTTGACAGGACGCTCAACCAGGTCCAACTCATTTCCCAGACTTCTGCCCTCACTCCTTCCCATCCCTGTCAGAAAATGATTGGGTTCCCCTTATCCTCATTTTCCACCCCACCAGTCTCTGCATTCAAAGGAATACCTTCTGCCACATCTGCCACCTCCAGCAGGGTAGCACCATCAAATGCATCTTCCCTTCCCCTCCACTGTCAGCATTCCACAGGGACTGTTCCCTCCAAGACACCCTGGTCCACTCCTTCATCACTCCTAACTCTTCCTCACTCCCCATCATGGTGCTGCCCTATGCAATCACGAAAATTGTAACACTTGCCCACTCATTGTCAAAGGTCCCAAATAAAACTCCTGGTGAAGTAGTGTTTTACTTGTACTTTTTTCAATCTAGCCGGGTGGCAAGGTGGCTCAGTGGTTAGCACTGCTGCCTCACAGTGCCAGGGACCAGTGGCCCTTCCTCAGAACAGTTCTGAGGAAGGGTCACCAGACCTGAAACGTTAACTCTGTTTTTTCCTTCACAGATGCTGCCAGACCTGCTGGGCTTTTCGAGCAACTTTGTTTTTGTTCCTGATTTACAGCATCCGCAGTTCTTTCCGATTTTATTTATGTGATAACAAGGTGTGTGGGAATTGAGGTAAGTAAATGTGAAGGTGCCTGAAGCCCTAAAATTGTTGAACTCAATACTGAATCCAGAAGGCTGTAGAGTTCCCAAGTGGAAGATAAGGTGCTGTTCTCCCAGTTTGTGCTGAGCTTCACTTAGAGCACTGCAGCAAGCCTGAGACAGAGATGCTAGCCAGGTGGTGTGTTGAAGTGGGAGGCAACTAGAAGCTCAGGGTCTTTTTTGCAGACAGAACATAAGTGTTCTTCAAAGCAGTCACTCAGTCTGCACTTCATTTGCCCAGTGTAGAGGAGACCACACATTGTGAACAGTGTAATGTACTTGTTTCTCACAATATTGTCTGCTTTACATTGGTGCGACCAAACACAAACTGGATGACCACTTTACGGAACACCTCTACTCTGTCTGTAAGAATGACCCTGACCTTCCATTTCCAGCACTTGCCATTTCAATAAACCGTCTTGCCCCTATGCCAACATTTCTGTCCTGGACCTGCTACAGTGTTTCAATGAAGCTCAACACAAGTTCCAGGAACACCGCCTCATTTTCTACTTCAATTCTTTACATCCTCTAGGACTCAATATTAAGTTCATCACCTTCAGAATGTGACCTCTGTATTCTGCTTTTCTTCTATCTCTACCCTCCCAGGCTGTATGATGTATGGGTCTTGTTGGCTTTGCTCTCAATGGAGTGGACACATTTTCACCTTTTCATTGCTCACATTTAAATCTATTTTAAATGTCTATAATCTCCTTCAACACTATTTTCACTGCCTTTGTCCTTTGCTCTAGGCATGCTCACCATCCGTTCCACTTCCTCCTCCTCCCACTCTGGCATAAAATCCTTAATTTTTCAGCTGCTTTTAATTCCAAAATATAATAAAATATTTCCAGAATGGAGTCAAAATGTTAACTCAATTTCTCTCTCCACACATGTTACCAGATCTGCTGAACTTCTCCAGGACTTCTGTTTTTTTTAATTTAATCTATTTTTCCTAATCATTCTGTTCAGTCATGTTATTACACACCTCTGGGATAGGTGAGACTCTGGGCCTCTTGGTCCAGGGGTAGAGACACTACCACTGCACCACAAGAGGGTCCAACTTTCTGTTTATTTTTGATATAAGTATTGTTATTCTTTAAAGGGAAGGTGCAACTTATTGGTTGAATCCAAAGTTTATACTTGAGACTCAATAAGAGCTAACGCTGTTTAAGTTAATTATTTTAGACCCTCACCTTACCTTCCATTCCCCATCCGCAAGCTACTGTGAATAACAATCCCTTTTAGCAAAAACAGCAGTGAAGACGAACAAACAGTGAATTTCACTTTCCTTGCTTTGTTTCAAAATATTTAACATTTGTAAGATCTGGCTGGAAGTCAGTAAGATCTGCCTTTAATTTTTTTTTGTTAGTTATGTTATTTTTAATTGAACAGATTGAGATTCATACACTGATTCATCCATGATTGTGGCATGAGAAACTACACAAAACTTTAGTCACAGCTGTAACTTGGCAAGCAGTTAAATAAATATCATGTTTCAGCCCTTCATTTTTAAACTGGTTACAAGAGAAAGATCCACCATAATTCCACTTTGTAACTCTTGGTTTGCTGTAGGATCTGGCACCCCAGCGTATCCAACTCTATTTCAAAGCTAAAAGTTTACAATGCTGGGAACATCTTTGTAAATCTGCTTTACACCCTCTCTAATGTGATCATACTTGCAGCAAGGAGAATAATATGGCAGGAAAAGAAAATATGGATTAACAAGCCATTCAACCCCTTGGGTTTATTTTTTCCCCACATATGAAGTACAATTTACCCTTTTATATTCAATCTACCTTAATCCTGTCTGTCAGGCAAAGAGCTTAGTTGTGATACACCTTTGTGAAGGGACTAATATCGTTAACGTTTAAACATAATTACCAACAAATTGGATGAATTACTATTGGAAAAGGAAAGAAATGATGTATCCACCAAACATCAAGGAAAAAATGAAGACAGACCACTCCAAAAAGGTAATTTTAACCTAATTCACCATGATCCCTCTCAGGTATTGCAAGATTAAGTGTTCTGTTATATTGCTCCTTGCTGAACTTTCCGTGGGGAATATGTAAAATAAATTAATTCAATAATGGATGCCTGCAGTTGAGCAAGTGTTCATATTACTCAGTGCAAAACACAGCAATTCTCCAGCTTAAAAATGATTTACAACTGGTGTAAAATTACTCCTCATTGCAGTCAGGGAAAGAAACCGTCAGTTACTGATGTGGCCTATATTGCTGTAGTTTCTATTGTTTTACTCAACAGTTCTGCATGAAATCTGTAGCTTTTAACTTCAATTATTTAGGTTGTTGCAGCTTTAACTGCTATTAGTTGCTTGATGGATAGCCACCAAAGACTGATAAGCCATAAAGGAATATGGAAAATGACTGTACTCATGAACAGTGAGCTATATAGCACTGATCCTACATGATGCTTTGCAAACCTGACTGTTGTTGAATTACAATGATGAACTTTTTCAGCAGTCTACTCAAATCAAAGATTTAATCTCCCATTGTAAACATGAATCACTGCTCAGACCTCCAAAATTATCTTGTATTGTTCATGGAGAACCAATTGTGGGAATGATAAATTGAACTAGATGGTAATGTATTTAAATAAGCATGTTTAACAATGATACACATTACAAATGCAAGAAAGAAACGAAACCACATTGAATTGCCTTAGTATGAACTCATGTGGATTCTCCTTGTCTCTGCATGTGAATTAAATGTTAAATCAGCTTAATACTCTTTCATATTTTAACAATGTGCACTTTTATTGTGTATTTCTGTGGCAGGGATTCTGAATGAAATTTCATATTCATGACTGTATGAAATACTTGCTGAGTAGATGGAGTTCTATCTTTGTTTCACTACCCTGCAGCAAAATTGTTATGGAGTAATAATTAGTGCTAATCATTAACTAACTGGGGATGAAAGAAGGAAATTTGTCGACATAATTCTCTTAAAACTGAAACTAATCTTTGTAAAACTTCTTAATTGCTATGGCAGAGTCTATTTAGTTGCTGAAATAAACCACTATTATATATCATAAACATATCGTAAAGGTTTTATCAATGGAAACTCTTAGCAAAATCGCCATCTTTGGCTGGCACCGGATGCTAGTGGTAACCTTGACTTGAATCATATCATTCTGCAAACACTGAAGTCTGCTTAAGATCATTTCTCATTTGGCAGAAAAATGTAACTGCCTCAAACGTTAATTGATGTCTTGCACTGTTAATCTTAACTAAGAAAATTTACGTTTGAGTGAATGGAAATTTCTTGAGGTGAACATTTTTTCTAGGCTTGTAATTTGATCTCCATTTCAGATCCATTTGCTACCTTTTCACATTTGCACCCTGCCAGTGTAGTGATGTAAGATGCTTAAAGTAATGGAATTGGCTTGAGTATTGCTCTGTTCCCTATGTGGAATAACAAATGCTTTTTCTGGAATAAAGCAGGTTTCCTTGATTTTTACAAACAAATTTCTGATGAAGCATTCCACTATAACCAGGCATCCAACTCAGAAGCTAAGCAAAGCAAAACATTCCTTTACTAAAGAACTCGTTGAATAACTTGGACTGCAAGTAGAGCCTGTCTTTTTTTCAGCATAAATCTTGTAAGAACTTTGCTGTGTTTTCTTTTCATAATTTGGTTATCAAAAATGTTGAATAAGAACATTAGTGATAGCAATTGGCCATTCTCAAGAGTGTTCTGCTCTGCTATTCAACAAAATCGTGGCTGAGCGTCACTTGCTGTATCCATTTAATCTTTGATTCTTTTAATACCCAAAAGACTCCTGGTCTCCATCTCAGATTGAATCAGTGATTGGCTATCCACAACCCTCTGGGATTGCAAATTCCAAAGATTCATAACTCTTGAAGTAATTTCTTTCATCTCAGTTCTGAATGCCTGATCCCTTTTCCTGAGAATATTATCCTTAGTTTTAGACTTTCTAGACAGGGAAACAGCCTGTTAAACCTTTTAAGAGTTTTATACATATCAAAGACATTACACTTATTATGCTAAACCTCAGAGAATACAAGACCTTCTAATCAATACGTCCCATTGAGACAACCTTCTGGTTCCAAGAATCAACATCATAAATATTTGTTGCATTGTCTGTGGACAGGTGTGCCTTCCATAGATTTAGAGATCAAAATTATGCATTATACTCCAGTTGAGGTCTCTCAAAAACCCTATCTAAGTGTGGCAAGGCTTCCAAACTGCTATATATCAACTCCTTGCAAGAAATGTTGAAATATGAATTGCTTTCCAAATTGCTTATGTTAACTTTCTGCATAATGATCCCTAAATCCCTCAGAAAATCAAAATTTACTAGTTTCTCTTTCTTAAAACAATAATCTGCTTTTTCATTCTTCCTATTAAAATGTATAATTGCACTATTCATATTTTATTCAATCTGCCATTTTATTGCTCAATCATTAAACTGGTGTATAGTTCATGATGGCTTCCTTGCATTCTCTTCACAGCTTTCCAATGCACAAATTCAAAACTGGACTGAATTGAACTTAATAAACCTGCTGAAATTTATATCATAAATTCCTCAGAGAATTCTGACAGACATAATTTACTTCCTATAATTTATTTAAAATAACTACAAAATAAAGCATCCCCATCACAATGAAAATGGTGACAATCCTGAAAATTGGAAATTCTGCCTCTGAATGCAACACTTCTAATTTTTCAGATTTGGGGTAGGTTTGAGGATGGCCTGTGCCAAAAGCATGGATGTGGACACAGCAAACTATTTAAATGATCACTTGTCTCAATTCAAATCCCATTTTGGGATTTACTCTAGGTGCTCAGGGTTCCTTCAATAGTCTAAGGATGTGCAAGTTAGTTGGATTGGCCATGCTAAATTGCCTATAGTGCCCAGGGATGTGTAGGTTGGGTGGATTAGCCATGGGTAATGCAGGACTCCAGGGGTAGGAAGAGCAGTGAGTCTCGGTGGGATGCTGTTTGGAGGGTCAGCTTGGACTTGATGGCCTGAATGGCCTGGTTCTGCACTGAAGGGATAATATGATTCTGTGATTTTGCTAAGCCCACTATTTGAGTCCAGAAGTGTGCAGAGCAGACTAAGTCAAAGTATATCTGTTTCAGTTAATTGACTTTCAACAACCTGAGGGGCCTCTGTGATTCTGGTTCCAGTAAACCTCAGAAGCAGTTCAGTTGTCCTTAAAGGGTCATGTGTCCTTAATGAGACCAGTCAGGCACTCTTTTAGATTATTGAAAATGGGTGAGAATGAGCCAAGAAAGTGCATAAACCTATTGGAACCACTGAACTGCCAGAGAATTGTCAAACTGTCAAGGGATTTTCCATAAACCTGAAGATTTCTATTACAGGTTTAACACACATTACTGGATCAGTGCCGTATTTCTGATTTCACAAGGATCCATTATAACAGTGGGGTGCCTTCTATTTCTGCCTGTTTAACAGCTACAAGTGGTTTTTGTCTCTTTGATTTGGGACTGTAATTCCAATAATTCTTGCACTTGAATTAAATATTGTTTTTACAAAGCTTTAGTGAAATGAAAGAATTCAAATGCATTAAATGTGATTAGTTTTTATCAATGAAAATTTCTTTTTACAGACCTAGAACATGAATTTTCCTCTCTGCCTGGGTCCTGAGGTCTACTCATGGTGCATACTAGGTGGGTTGTCATGGTCAATGAAGAAGCAATGGATGGTGAGTCCATTCATAGGATCATGAGCTGGCATAAATTGGGACTGAGCTGTCCTAGGGATTAAAAAGGGTGATTGAGTCCATGGGGGTGAATACAGGGGCATTAGATTCTGTGGGAGTCTGAGGGCTATTGACATAAGCAGGGGACGTAGGATGTTGTGGAATGTATGAGAGGCCATGAGGGATGGGAAGAGAGTCACGGAGTGGCATGAGGATTTGGAATGGCATGGAGAGGGTATGGGCAGATTTCAAATTCATATGACTGTTATTTTCAATGGCATGCCAAGATTACACTTTTGACTGTAGTTTTCTGGAGTGCTTTAGCATACTTTAATTATTGAATTAATCACAGGATGTGGGTTTTGTTGTTAAGGCCAGCATTTAAGATCAGCATTGCATTCCCAATTATCCCTTAAAAATTGGTGATGAACCTCCTCCTTGAACCAGTACAGTTTATGAAATGAACATGCTTCCACAGTGCTGTTTGAGAGACAGCGCCAGGATTTGGACTCAAAAACAACGAAAAAGTACTGAGTATATATCTAAGTCTGGAAAAGTTTGTGACTTGGGGAAACATATAGAGGCGTTGGTATTTAAATACATCTGCTACCCATGTCCTTCTAGCTGTTAGAGCCTGTGACTTTGAGAAGGGCTATCGCAGGAATCATGGCGAGATATTGCAGTGCACTGGTAGATATGCACTTTGTAACAAAACTCCTCTCCTTAAGTTTGGAGATTGAGAAGAATTTAAAAAATCACGCAGAACATTTTGCTACTTGTACAAGATGCAGAGGGCATCTTGCACCATTGTTATAACCACCAAGACTCCAATATTTATTCAAAATCATGAAAGGAGCAGGAAAAAAAAATTGAGCAATAAATCTGTCTGTGACACCCACATCCCATGAATGAACAAAGAAATATGAAAAAAGTCTAAAAAGTCTCTCTCTTTTCCCAAGCTCCCTGGAGCCAATACATAATTATGGTTTAAGTTCCCCCATCAAGTAAGGACTTTCCATTCATTGTTAAGCTGTTGCTCATATTAAATGTAAGCTATTTCTCACTATTTCTGTCTTCCTGCCAAGCACAGTAACCAGATAATCATATTACAACAAAATGGAGCTCAATTATGTATTCTGCTGAATATAATTATCCTGTAATAATTTAAATTGAGGGCCTGAAATTCTCTTTAACAAATTTGTTAATTTTAGTAATGCAATCTAATCAAATTGTCTGAATGTTTGATTATATTGACTTCAACATGTCAAGTTAAGTTACATTTGAGGTGCTGCCTTCATGTCATTATATCTATGTATGGGGATGATTAAGAAAAATTATGGCTTGCATTGGTCAAAAGCAACCAAGCTCCTCTTCTTTGCATTTTATCATTCTTCAATATTTGACTATACTGCCAATGAACACTGACCAATTTGCTGTAAGCCCTTTGTGTGGAGTATAAGGAATAAACTGTACTAACTACTGAAATGGTTTGAAGAATTTTACCTGCAGGAATACATGTGATTTTTTCGGACACTTCGTCTGAAGAACCCTTTGCAGCCATCGCAACTGGATGCACCATAATGTTTTCCTGTAGCCCGATCACCACAAATTGCACATAGAGCGCTGATCCCAATGTTGTTAGAGGAATTCATGTTGGTGGCTTCACTTGGAGATGTATCTAGGAACAATAGCAATACATATTTCAGAACAAAGCTCAAATGTAGTTAAAAAGAAAATGTTATACATTTGCAAATTGGATCTTCTTCAACTTGAAAGGGAATGTGGTTTGTCATTTGAATATGTTGATTGTCACCATCAAGATCAATATGTTCTGGTCTAACGTAGAGTAGTAAGAGAAGCGTACTAAGAGAAACAGCACCATTTTTAAAGAATCATTCATTTTTGATGTTGTAACCAAGTTGATTTGGTTTGGGATTTGAACCCAAACCTTTTAAATGGAAACCTAATGCTTGCAACTTATTTTCTTCTTAGGATACCTTCAAATTGTATCACTACTAGCAAAGAAAATGCTTCACCTCTGCAGTATTATATGAATAAAGTTACAAGAAAAATAGGCTACATCTTAATGGAGTTGAGCACCATCAGTTTTTGTTTTAACAACTTTTTTTCCAAGAGCTTCTTTTTACAACTCATGCAGAGAGAATGAGGAAAGGGCTCTATCACAGAAAAAACAGAAGAAAATGCAGAATTTTGTTGAAAAGGTTAATGGAGAGGCAAAAATATACTGAGGAAAGAATTAAAGTAACAATGGCAAAACATAATATTAACATTTTTATTCAGTAAGCAGACAGTTAGGGAGGAGTAAAGTTTATAAAAGTTGCAAATAGAACCAAAATTGTGGACAAGATGAAGGTAGTTAAATATTTGGAATGGTCATGTATGGAACCTTTGAATAGTTACAGCACAGAAGGAAGCCATTTGGGTGTCATTGCTGTGTATACATTTATTGTCAAGTCTGTTTTGTACACAAGTTGTCATAGTTGTGTGAACATTTGTTGTCATGTCTGTGTGTACACTAGCTGTCATATTTGTATGTACACTCGTTGTCATGTCTATCTGTACATTTGTTGTCGTGTCTGTGTGTACATTTACTGCATATAAAATGTTTTCTGACGCCACTATTGATTCTTCTGCCACTCACTTTAACTCAGCTTCCACTGGTCCTTGGCATTTTCTGCTAATGGGAGTTTTGTTCAATTTACTTTGTCTAGACCCCTCATGATTTTGATACTTTTCTCAAATCTCCCACCAACCTTCTTGTCTTGAAGGAGAACAACCCCAAATTCTCCAATTCATCTGTATATCTGAATCCAGTCATCTCCGAAAACATTTATGTAAATCTTTTCTGCATCCTCTCTAAAGCCTTCATATCATCCATAGCGTGGAATTTAATAATTACACCAGGAGTCTCTGGAGAATTGGCAAGAGCCCCTTATTCTCCTTTTTCTGAGAAAGGCCTGTTGTATTAAGAGCACATCATTGGCCATTATTGAACCTTCCCAAGATTAAGGAGCTTGGGGGACAGCTCTCCATTTTCATCAGTGCCACTGGAAGTGGTGGCAGCTGTCAGTAATGCACCCACCAGGGGTCCAGGCTCAATGAAGGATCTCAAAGTAAAAATATGAGGACAAGAAAGGGATTGTGAGCTGGGCATCACAGTAAGTTAGTGTTTGATGGAAGGATAGGGGCATGGTACTGTGTAACCCCACCATCTTCATTTCCCTGATGCTGAGTCCCTCAAACAGGCATTGAGCACTTTTGGACAATCGACACCACCTCTACCCCAAAGCCCACATGCAAACCCAAACCAAAAGGCAAAAAGCAAGTCCCCCACCCACCATTGGTTCATTACTGGAGGCAGCAGGACAGCCTATTTGCTGAGTGCGCAGTGTCCTTGATGCAGCATTACAATGATAGTTGTTGGTGCAGCCCAAGATACAGCTTTGGAGTGCAGAAGCGGATTGGAAATGTGCCATGAGGGTGCTTAGAGGATAGAACATGTTGGATGTCAATTTGTGAGGGCATGGGTACATGTGGCTTATGCCCACACAATGTGCTTTGAGATGTTGATGCCTCTAGTTTCCAATTTGGAGGTCATTTGCAGCAGGCAGTGAGTTGAATCTGTTAGGCATTCTCTCTGGTTTACTTGTTAAGTTTTTCTGACACTGAGCTTGTTTAGCAAGTTTTGAGATGGGAGGCCAAATATTAATAAGGTGGGTTGAACTATTAACAAGGTGTTTAAAAAGCAACAATCACTGTCAATTAGCAACTCACCACTGCCTAATGGGAATACCACCAGGCTGTTAGTGAAAAATATAAGTGATGTTACACAAATTACTCCTGATGTTGAGGTGGGCCTCACCGCATTTATCACCTGATTTTGCTACACATCTTGCCATAGCCCTCATCACTCAAGCCATTATAAAATTCCACCCTGTATTCAATGCTTGCCCAGACACGCGTTTTCACCATGAATGATATGAACCCCAGTTAGTTATCGAAAATAAAATTCACAAAGTTGATATCAATGAGATAATGTCAAAGACAGGCTACATTGGTTCAAAAGTGAAAAAATATTAATTATAATCAGTATTATGACATTGATAGAAATCAGGAAGGAAGTGATAAGGCTGTGCCTGCCATTACGAAGGAATCAATCGATATTAGAGGTATGACTAGGTTGGAGGTTGGCCAACTGAGGGTCCATATTCAAAAAGGGATAGAATAATGGACAAGTACATGCTAATTATCTTGCCTCCATTCTGTGTAAAATAATGGATTAAATTATCAGGTGTAAGCTTAAAGATCATCTGTACAATAGCCTATCAACTATAATCTTCATAGATTCAAATGTCATCATATCTGACCAAACCTTGCGGAATTAACAACCTAGGTTTGTAGTAGAGGCATGGCGTACAGTGATTTCCAAAAGGACTTTTAAAGTCCCCTTTGAAAATGTTATTAGTTAAACTCAAAGTCACAAGATTAGTGTAAATCTTTGGAATGGGTGAGAAACTGATTTTGAGCATGGTTCAATTGAACATGTTCAACACAGAATTTGTACTGTGTGCGCTAATGATCTGAGAATATTGCAACTTTCAGGGAATAGGGAGTTCCAGCGGTTGCTAGGTTCAGTTCTGCCTAGTAATTAGGGGCAGAGCTTGCTTTGAGGTTTTCAAAAGGCTGCTCAAAATAATTCAAAGGTTATTGAACTGTCAATTTTATTTAGTTAGATGAAGGTAGTTAAAGGAGAAGGTTGCTGCCTTCAGTTTACTATCAGTCAGGTATTTTGGAGCAGTGAGTAGAGGCTGCATCTGAAGTAAGTGCTACTTAAGCAGGCTCCAAACAATAGGATACAGGTGAATTCCTAGGAGCCAGTAGGTGTAGCTAAGTTCTGTGGTTAGGGTTCAGAAGAAAATAATTCTGAGATCTGTGGGGCTTCAGAATTTAATGCAGCAGAGAATGGTGTGAAAGAAGCCTATGAGCAATATTTCCTTAGTGCAGCTGAGCATGAGTTTGGAGAAAATGCAGAGGTAGTGCCAGCTTGATGAAAATGTTAATTGTCTGAGATCAAACTGGAATTGTGCCCATGAGTTAATGTTGGAGTGCATTTTCTAGAGTCCAAGGGAATGTAGTCTCATTAGCGAGAGTGACCATAAGGACCTGAGCAGTCATCAAGCCAGTCCATGATGGAACAGCTTTTGAGTGAGTTCCAAAGCTAGGTCTTTGAAGAGAAGAGTTGGAATCTCTTGTAAAGTTTTCATGAGATTTGATGACCCATGGAGTTACTAATGTCTGGGGGAGGGAGGGAGGGTTGTTGAGAAATCTATGGAATCTGACTTGATCACATTTGCTATTTGATGTGCTTTGTGGGATTGGTGACTGGTTTATCTGTTATCCATATTTATCTCACGTTAATTCTGGATGCTAGAATTTAAATTACATAGCATTGTGGATTTTTTAAAAGTTCTCATGGAATGTGGGCATTGCTGTTTTGCCCAGCATTAATTGCCCATCCCTAGTTGCCCTTGAGAAGCTGGTAGACTGCCTTCTTGAACCATTGCCATCCATGTGATGCAAGTAGACCTACGTCACTTTAACATGTTGTTTTGCTTTTAGAACACTGCATTGTAAAATTTATTTTTGTTTATTCAAAACCATAGAATCTCATGTTTTTTTTTCTTTCAGTTAGTCCTGGGATCTCCTATTTTGTCTATTGTTTAAAAAAAAGTACTAGCTACTTGCCTGATTGAAACATAAATTTGACAGTCTAGGCTGGGATCTTAACAGTTCCTATGTTCCTGAACTGGTTGAAGGGTGAGAAACAATGAAAGCTCATCAGAAGATTTCTGAGACAGTGTAGGCAAGTGTTAATTGAGTTTCTCAAGTATCCATTGTTAGGACCACTACCCTGTATAATTAACATTACTGTTGAGGACCAGATTCAGAACCTCAATGCCATTTAATTGGATTTGATGATGAGACAAAACCAGGAGGAATTGGAGAAAACTGCTCAAAATTTTAATGTAAAGTAATCTTGACAGACAAAATTTAGTGCAGAAATGTGCAGACTATGATTCAAAACCAGTAGAAAGAATACCATTGAATGCTGAACTGCATAGAGAAGTTACAGACTATGTTAGCAGAAGGTGTGAACAAAACACTCGATGTTCTGATCAGCTATAATTGGAAAACTACTTTCAGTTTTAGGTCACCAGGGCATTCATGTGATGGAAACAATGAACAATAAAGAAAGTCAAAACTAATCCCTATTACCAGGCTTTTAAAATAGAAGGGAAATTTGAAGTGACTTGGGCTTTTCAGACTGGAAATGAGACCTGTAAAAGGAATTGTCTTAAGGTATACAAGATAATTAATGTCACAGAAGGAAAAAGTCCAGAATATTCTTTAAATTCAATTCTAGAGGTTGTAAAATAAAAAAAAAATTCTTTCTCGTGAAAGATAACTTCAAGACTGATAATGATTATATCCCTTCATGCAGTCAGTGATCAATGCTAGGAATAGATACTTAGGTAGTGAACTGAACATAGAAGCATTGCATGAATTTAAAAACATTACACAATTCATGGAGAGTATTATGGGCCCCACTATGAATGAATTAATATAGGTTATATGGTTTGCTTCGTCTATTATAAT